ATCTATCTATCTATCTATCTATCTATCTATCTATCTATCTATCTATCATCTATCTATCTATCTATCTATCTATCTTTCTATCTATCTATCTATCTCAATCAATCCAAGGTGGGAAGGAAGAAGAAATGTTACTACCTTGTTCCTCAAAATTGTCCTTGTCTCCTCCCTCTTTGGATGGCCTGCGTGCAGTTCCTGGCAGCTTCTGGCAACCCCTGGTGCATGCTCAAACTCAGGTCTGACTCAATCAATCCACACGACGGAAACCACCAATAAATATTCGCATGCGGCTTAAAATGTCATTATCATATTTTGAGGCTGGTGAAATGACCCTGTTGCTCCCGTCAGGGCATGTTTCCGTTTAAACAGCGCAAAAGAAAACACGGGTAGTAGGCCTTGACTTAAGAGCCCCAAACTTATGTTGCTAAGTGAGGCATGGGTGAAGTGGGCTTTGCCCCGTTTTACCACATCACTTGCCACCCTTGTGAAGCCAATCGCTGCCATTGTTAAAATTGTCACACAGTTAAATGGCTTTCCTATTGACTTTGCCTGCCAGAAGGTCGCAAAAGGGGATCACAGGACACTGCGGCGTCATAAATGTGAGTCAACGGTCAAGTATCCCAATGTAAATCACGTGACCGTTCGAAGTTATACCGGCACTAATCTAACTGAATTTAGATTAAATAAGAGTGGTGTAAACCATTGGCAAGATCCCAAGGGAGAAGCATGAAAGGTTTACCAAAAAGTCAATAAAAGAGTTGAAATTCTAAGAAGGACAAGAGATGTTGGACAGATATTAGAATGCTTATTCATATAGTGGCTATTTATTAAGAGGTAGGATAAAAAGGCAGAAAGTAGAAATTGGGAAAATTGGGGAAATGTATACCGATATATACCAGGGACGCAGTGGCTCAGTAGCTAAGACGTTGAGCTTGTCGATCAGAACGGTCAGCGGTTCAGCGGTTCGAATCCCTAGCGCCGCGTCACAGAGTGAGCTCCCGTTCCTTGTCCCAGCTTCTGCCAACCTAGCAGTTCAAAAGCATGTAAAAAAATGCAAGTAGAAAAATAGGGACCACCTTTGGTGGGAAGGGAACAGCGCTCTGTGTGCCTTCGGCATTGAGGCATGCCGGCCACATGACCGTGGAGATGTCTTTGGACAGCGCTGGCTCTTCGCCTTTGCAATGGAGATGAGCACTCCCCACTAAAGCCGGAAATGACCAACACGGGTGTGCGAGGGGAACCTTTGCTTTTATACTGATATGTAATAGATTATAATTACCATGTATACGCAAATGTTAGAAATGGAAAGACTATGATTATGTGTATCTAAATAATATTATTAGTAGCATTGTATTATACAATGTACATTGACCCAGGCAATGCACAGTTCGCTAAGCACTTATGGATGTAAAAGAAAAAACTATGGGGAGGCTGCAACGGTCGTTAAGTGTGAAAAACGATCCTAAGTTCTGTTTTTTTCAGTGCCATTGTAACTTCAAACGGTCACTCAATGGACCGTTGTAAGTCGAGGACTATCTGTAGAAGGAACACAACTGCTGTGACTGGTGACCCCTGTAATGCTGTCAACGGGGAGGGAGGGCAGAGAGTGTGAATGTTTGCTCTGATCCTTTTAGTGTTTCAAAGAAAAGCTAGCTAGCCTTTTAGGAGGAGTAAAAAAAAATAATCATTTTTGCACTTTCATTAATCTCCAAGAATTGTATGAGTACAGGGAGTCCTCGGGCTTACGACACAATTGAGCCCAAATGTTCTGTTACTAAGTGAGACATTTGTTGAGAGAGTTTCCCCTCCATTTTAGGACCTTCCTGGCCAAAGTTGTTCTGTGAATCACAGCCATTGTTAAAGTAGTAACCCGACTGTTAAGTGAATCCAGCTTCCCCATGGACTTAGTCTTGTCCGAAGGTCGCGAAAGGGGAAATCACATCACAGCAACGGTCGTAAGTATGAGTCAGTTGCCAAGAGTCTGGGACCACGGGGAGGCTGCAATGGTCATAAGTGTGAAAAGTCATGTTTTTTGCGGTGCCGTTGTAACTTCGAACGGTCAGTAAATAAACTGTTGTAAATCAAGAACGACCTGTACTGAATTGAAGGGTTGTTTCACTTTTGAACGTGGTTTGTTTATCTGGCAATCTAAATCCTCATGTCCTTAAATAGAATTTAAAAAAAAAATCAAAAGAAAACCAACAGATAAAATCCAGGTCATGAAAGATACTAATATAATTAACTCCAGATAAGGCTGGTGCCATGGTGGGGCTGATCTCTAGACAGAGATATGAAAAGCCTGAAATCTATTGGTGGATTACTTCATCTAGCTTCCTTCTAAAATCAGAGATTCAAAGGAGAGCTATTTAACCAGCAGAATAAAACATCCAGCACTACCTGTTTTAAAACATGTGTGGCAAACTTTAATTTCACCCACCCCTCCCGGATTATCGCTATTGGAAAAACAATGGCTCTCCTAATATTTTATTAGTTATTTTGACAAGCTCTTAAATTGCTTTGAACATATATAAGGAAATGAGAAGAAATTCTGAGTCATATATCATGCATACATGTTTATTATATCGTCTGTTCCTTTTTTTTTTTACACAATAGTCTTTTGCATTAGGTAATATTTGAGGGTCATTAGGTAATATTTGAAACATCTGAAGTGTTCTAGAGTTCCCCTTCACTTTCCTTAACTTTCAAAACCACAAAAGGCAACCCTTGTAAAAATGTCGAAACGTATTTAAGCAGTTTTTTCCAATCCTGTTGGTCTCTGAGATTGCCGTTTCCGCACTGACAAAGATATTGAATAGGGGAGATCATTACACAATGTGTCCATTAATATTAATAATAGTCACATTTCACCATCCTCCTTTGAAGCATCTGTCAATGTGAGCCACTCCAAAAGTGGACAACAGATCCCCAGTATTAGTAAAAGCAAATTACAGTTCAGCAGTTTTATTAAATTTCTATGCAAGAGCAATTTCATACAACATGCAAAACTATGGGGTTTAATAGCAGATCTAATAGTAATAATTAGGTTTCATTCCACATTTCCTTTAAATAGAATATAAGAGCCAGTTCCAAGTTATCCATATTAAGCCACAGAATAAGCTTCATTGGTGTAATGTTGGAACTTGTATCATTTTTGTTTTGGAAAGAAAAATGACTCTAGAAAACATTGCTTTATCAAGGCAAAGAGCTCGCCAGCATAAATAATAAAATTCAGAAGTGTTCATTTTTGCATGCAATCAGGGCAGGTCTGGTGGAATTATATGAGGTTTTTTTTCCCAATCTCAATTCCAATAGAAATTTCTCACAAGAACAGTCTCATAGCACTCCAACAATCCACAATACACTGATGACGTTACCTAGTTGGGTCATGAAATGTCTGTAAGAAAACCACCAAGCTCAGAGAGCACGAAGAACCAGCTGAATGGCAGTATCAAGAACAGGGATCTGACAGCCACACTCCAACAATTCCACCTCACATATCAATGGCAGCATATTTATCATGAGAAACGCTCTCGCAGTTTCTCGAAAGCAAAAGCATATAAGATTCCAACTCAAAATATATTCTTCTCTCTGTATGTCTGTGTGTGTGTATATACTCACACACATATACATATATACTTGTTTCTCTCTCTCTCTATATATATATATACATTGTTTCTCTCTCTCTCTCTCTCTCTCTCTCTCTCTATATATATATATATATACACAGTATATGTAATATATACAGACACACACATATATACATGTATATATAGAGAAAGAGAAAGAAACATAATATCCACACCCACACACACACATCCTGTGGAAGTATTTACATATGTGTGTGGGTGTCTTTAAATTATGTATATGTGTCTGTGTTTATAAACAGGGCGTCCTCGGATGACAAACACACAAGACGTAAATAAATAGCCAATTCAACAGGAGCTTTAGTAAGTCCAAAGGGCTATACAGAATAACCAAAACACAAACCCCTTCCTTGGCTCCTTCCAGTATCAACAGGCATGGGGGTTTCCTGGCCAAGCTTCCCTTCTTGCCCCAACCTAAATATTAAATGGCCTTGGAAGTCAAGCTGGAATCGGGGTGAATTTATGGGAGGTTTTTCCATAGGCGAAAGAAACGAAATGGAAATATCTATTTCTTTGGAATGGGGTGGGGAGGATGGAAAGGAATGGGGTGGGGGGTGTCTGTGTTCCTCTTTCCTCCTCGCTTCTCGATCCTGACCCTGGCAAAGGTTGGGCCTCCCTTGGATGGGGCACCACCAGGAGATCCCAAGGATGGCAGATGGGTTGGGGGTTCCCCTCCCAACTTTTTTCCCTACACATCTACTAGCCCTGGGATCTCCTGGTGGTGCCCCATCCAAGGGAGGCCATCGATAATGATCCCGGCTGGAGCAAAAGGGGGGGGCATCGGGGCCATTCATAACGGGGGTCTTCAACACCCCTGGGGGCCCAAACAGACCCCCTCCCCTTTATCGACCACGGCTACTGGCCGGGCTACGGTGATCGATTATGGATTCTTGGCTCTCGTGCCTCCCCCCTCCCTAGCCTGGTTGAGGAGCCCCGCCCACTAGTCGGGCTCCTCCCTTCCCCCCAACGCCGGCCCCGCCCCCCTTCGGCGCCCCTCATCGATGGGGGTCCCCTCCGACTCACCCTCATCCAGACGGGCCGGGCCGCCACCGCCGCCGCCGCCGCCTCCCCTCTCGCCCGCCGCGGGAGCAGCAGCGCCGCCGCCGCCGCCGCCGCCGCCACTGACGGGCCTCTGTCAGGCCGCCCCAGCGCCCCGATCCCAACCCCAGTCACGTGACCGGGCCCGGCCGGAAGCGGTGCTTGCCCCTTCCGGCGCCCGGGCGGGAGGTAGGCGAGGCGGCGCGCACACTTCCGGCAGGGCGGCCCCGCCTCTTCCTTAGCAACCCGCGTCGGCCCCGCCCCTTCTTTTCTTCGCGCCGACTTGGGGAAAAAGAGAGAGAGAGAGAGAGAGAGAGAGAAAGGCGGCGCCGGAAGTGGGGCAGAGCGACTTCCGGTGGCGGCGAGCCGGTCTCTCGGCCAGGGGTCCCCGCGCTCGGGCCTTCCCCCTCCCCCCCCGGGCGGACCCCGACCAGCGGCGCCGGGGGGAGGCGGAGAGGAGGTGAGCCCAGCCCGGCTGGGGGCCCTTAAAACCCCGACCCGCCTCTTCCCTGGGGTGCTGGTGGAACTCGCGGCCACTGGAGCCCGGCGCAGCGCCTGGAGCTGCCCCCGCCTTCCTTAAAACCTACCCTGGGGGAGGGGTGGGAAAGCGGGGGTGGTTGAGAGGGGGAGGGACGTCAATGCTGGGGATTCCCCCGGCGAGTTTGAGGTTAGGGGGTGCAGGGAAGTCGGGGGACCCCCATGCCATCCCTGCAGGGAAAGATTAGCAGGGGGTGCTTGGGACGAGCCTGGGGGTGGCCCTTCAGGCCTCGCTTGGCCCTTTCTGATAGCGTATAATAGAGCTGGAAGGGGCCTTGGAGGTCTTCTAGTCCAGCCCCGTGCTCAAGCAGGAGAACCTATACCATTTCAGACAAGTGGCCGTCCATCCTCTCAAAAACCTCCAGTGATGGAGCACCCTTGATATCTGGTGGCAGGTTGTTCCACTGGTTAATTGTCTTCACTGTTAATAAGTTTCTCCTGAATTCTAGGTTGTTTCTCTTTTTTATTAGTTTCCATCCATTGCTTCTTGTCTTGCCCGCTTTGGAAAATAAATTGACCACCCCCCCCCTCTCTTTGTGGCAGCCTCTCAAATATTGGGATACTGCCATCATGTCCCCTTTAGACCTACTTTTCTTTAGGTTAGCCAATCCAAATCCTGATGCTTGGCATCCTTTAGGTGTGCACTGATGGTGTACTCTAGTTGGGCCAATGAAACGTCTGCAGGAAAACATCCAAGCTCAGAGAACATAGAGGACCCCACAGTTGTCGTCCTCTCCCCGCCCTCATTCCTTCTCCTCTTTCTCCTCCTCCATAAAGCCCACTCCCTCCTGCACTGATGTTGTTCCCTAGCTGGGTCATGAAACATCTACAAGAAAATCACCAAGCTCAGAAGGGCATGAGGATCCCACATTCCTCCTCCTCCTCTTCTCCTCCTCTCTGTAAAGCCCACTCCCTGCTGCACTGATGATGTTACCTACTTTGGTAATGAGATGTTGCAAGAAATCCACCAAGCTCAGAGAGCATCAAAAACCCCAGAGTCCTCCCTTTCCCCTCCTTCCCGCAAACCCCACTTTCTTTTGCACTGAAGATGTTACCTAGTTTGGTAACGAGATGTTGGAAGAAAACCACTTAAGCTCAAGAGAGCGCCAAGGACTCCTCGCTTGAACCCTGAGCTTACAGATATTCTCTTCTGTTTGATACCCTTTAGGGCTTCGTCAACATGACCGAGAGAACGGAGAGCCTCCATTTCCAGTTTGACAACTACGGGGATTCGATGTTGCAGAAGATGAACAAGCTGAGAGAGGAGAACAAGTTCTGTGACGTCACGGTCTGCATCGATGACCTGGAGGTCCACGGCCACAAGGTCGTCTTCGCCGCCGGCTCGCCCTTCTTGAGGGACCAGTTCCTGCTCAACGACTCCAGGGAAGTCAAGATCTCCATCCTGCAGAGCTCGGAAGTCGGGCGGCAGCTGCTCCTGTCCTGCTACAGCGGAGTGCTGGAGTTCCCCGAGATGGAGCTGGTGAACTACTTGACGGCCGCCAGCTTCCTTCAGATGAGCCACATTGTGGAGCGCTGCACGGAGGCGCTCTGGAAGTTCATCAGGCCGAAGCAGAAGCTGGGGAACAAAGAGGAGAACCAGGCCAGGGCCAACTCCTCCCAGTCGAAGGAGGCTGTCGGAGCCAGTGGTGGGGAAGAGGAGGAGGAGGAGGAGGAAGACGACGAGGAAGAAGACTCCTTGCAGCCTGATTCGCCTTGCCTCCAGCCGTCGGAGGACAGCATGGACATGGACGATAGCGACATCCAGATCGTGAAAGTGGAGTCCATCGGGGAGGTGGCCGAGGTGGGGAGCAAAAAGGACCCAGGGCCGTTCCTTTCCTCTGAAGAGCCCAGCTCCCTCCCTTCCTCGGAGCCCCAGCACTCCCTGATCAACTCCACCGTGGAGAACCGAGTGGGCGACCTGGAGCAGAGTCAGCTGCACAACTACGCCCTCTCCTACTCGCCGGCCGACAACCTCATTGTGGCTTCCAAGGACCTCTTTGGCCCCAGCAACCGCGGGGTGGACAAGGGCCTGCAGTGGCACCACCAGTGCCCCAAGTGCACGCGCGTCTTCCGGCACCTGGAGAACTACGCCAACCACCTGAAGATGCACAAGCTCTTCATGTGCCTCCTCTGCGGGAAAACCTTCACCCAGAAGGGCAACCTCCACCGGCACATGAGGGTCCACGCGGGCATCAAGCCTTTCCAGTGCAAGATCTGCGGGAAGACCTTCTCCCAGAAGTGCTCCCTGCAGGACCACCTCAACCTGCACAGTGGAGACAAGCCCCACCGGTGCAACTACTGCGACATGGTCTTCGCTCACAAGCCGGTCCTCAGGAAGCACCTCAAGCAGCTTCACGGCAAGAACAGCTTCGACAACGCCAACGAGAGGAGCGCTCAGGACTCGGCCATAGACTTCGATTCTTTCGGCTGCAGCTCGGGGGTGGACTCCAAAGGCTGCCCCGCCAACGAAGCCAGCCAGGTGCTGGAGGCGGGGAAGCTCGCCCAGGCCGTGCTCAGTTTACGGAGCGAAAGCGCCTGCGCGAATTAAGGGCTTGCACCCCGTCCCCCCAGGCTCTGTTTGCGAGCGAGAAAGACCACCAACTGCTGCCAGGGATGTGTGTGTGTGTGTGTGAATGGAGCTGGCCTAGGTGCCCAAACCTGGAACGGTTCCCCTTTTGAGCTCTTTTAGAAAGATTCAGCGTGTCTACGTGACTTTGTCTCTTTTGCAAACTGAACCACCTCCTGTGAATATTACAAGAGCTGGCATGGTGTCTGTGTGGGGTTGGGGGACACCCTGTTTTGGTTAAGTTCTGCCAAAAAGAAGCCCCTTGGTCGTGAGCCAGCCAAAGGCCTAAAAAACAGGAACAGATACGCCTCGTTGTGGCAAGAGTTTTTAAGCTAAAGACAGGACTGTATTCTTAGAAAAAAAGAAGAAGAAAAAAAAAAACACTGGATAATTATAAAGTCTTTTTACTTGGTCGCCTCTTGGGCGATCTTCTTATTTTGTATTCTTTGTGAAAAACCATCAGGTACTTCCCTCTCGGCTCCGGCTACTCTAAGGAGCACCGCCTCTTTAACACGGTCGTTCCTTTCCAATAGGACGGGGAAAGAAGCGTAATTGCTTTAGAGCAAACCTGGGCAGAATTCGGAGCAGCAGACGGGTGGGACGACCCTCCCTCCTTTGCCCCTTGGTTCGGGCTCAGTTCCTCCCCTCCCCCCACCAGAATAGGTTTCATCACATCTTGGGTAGAAACGGCGTGCTTTAGGCTAGGACGGTTGAAGTTTGCATGTCTCTCCACACACCCATGTGATTCTTTACGGCGCAACTTGGGTTTTTTTTCTGTAACGGTTTCCCTTCTAGCGGGGCCTCGGCTCGTATCCCTCTATTTTTTTTTTCTTATGGCTATGATCGGTTCCTCCGTTGTTCCTAAAACCCGAGTCCGTTTTTTGTTTTGAAGATTACGTATGGTGCTTAAAATACTGTTGGCATTTGGTTAGAAGCAATGCCGTAAGAGGACGGGATCGGTTTGAAAGGATCTTACGGTGCCTTCAGCACGGGGAAGCCTCTGAAAGGGAAGAGGATCTCCAAGGCAGACCGTAGGTTCTTCACTCTTCGGAATTATTTCTGGGGAGAGGGATTCCCAATCCGTTAAAAAAAAAAAAAAGTTACTAGTTGAAGGTGGATTTATTAGTGTATCGTATGAGCCGTATTTTACTTAGCCAGAGTTCTGGTGTAGGAGACCCTGGGTATTTTTCCCCCCCTATATTATGGTGGTCTTTTTTCCTGGGCTGGGAAATCCAGGAAGCAGGAAGCCCCTGGGTGCAGACTTGCAGTATTTACTCCCCTAAAGAAAGTGTTTTTTCCTCTTGAAAAACATGATTGGGCAAAGCTTCCTTGTTTCCTACCCCGCCTTTCTTCTTTTGCCCATTGTCATCTTCCGTTCATCCTTAAGTCAGAAGTGGGAGAGGAGGAGTTGTGGCGTGTGTAGAAAAGGTGAGGTGGGCTCAAGTATTTTAAGCGGGCAGGTGGTAGAATGCTGGCCCCCTCAGAGCTCAATCGCCTCCCGGAGGGAAGGGGGAAATCTTGTAGCAATCGGTAGGTAGAAACCCCACAACCAGCATTATTGTCCTTTTCTCCCTGTTAGGGGTCCTCCGAGGAGAGGGGATTTCCCCCCCCCCTTCCCCCGCCTCGCCCTCAACCCCTTGCAAACTTCTCGGGGGAGTAAGGCTGTCTGGATCTGTGAATGCATTCTAGTGTCCAGAAGAAGAAAAAAACCCTGTTTGTGTACTGAGTCATTGCAGTGGGTTTGGAATAAAGCAATTAAACCACCTTCCAAGGTGTGTGTATATATATCCTTTTATTTATTTTTTTGTAAATGATAAAGGTAGTCCCCGATTTACGACCACGATGGAAGCCCCAAATTTTTTTTGGGGGGGAGGGGCTAAACGACACCCTTCTAAAGTGAACTTTGCCCCATTTTGCAAAGCGGAGGCGAAGTGAATCTAGCTTCCCTGTTGACCTTAGATCCAAGGTCACTGCATCCGTCATAAATATGAATCAATGCCTGGAAGTGTCTGAATTTTGACCGTGTGGCCATGGGATGATGCTGCAATGCTTGTATCAGAAATAGTCATAAGTCAATTTTTCCCCCCAGTCCTGTAGTAACTTTGGACGGTCGCTAAATGAACTTGTACGTTGAGGACTGCCTCTACAGGAAAACTCCAGGAAAGAGGCCGCATTTACGGTCACTAAATGAACTGTTTAGCATCACCAGTAGTTTGGAAATGGTTGGCAGGCTGAGCCGGACATAAGAGTGAGTTGAAAAGGAAAGCCAAGGTGGGAGAGAGACTATTAGTTCAAAGCTTACCTCACTAGCCTTCCGTGTTTGTGTATGCTGTCAGAAATGGTGCAGGGTCTCCTGCTTAGGCGGAGGGTTAGACTAGATGACCTACAAGGTCCCTTCCAACTCTGTTAACCTGTTATATACACCTAGAGTGTCCATTGGGTTTAGTAGATTGTAAAGACATTTGAGTTGATAGGAATGCAGAGTTGTCATCTGCTTTTGCTAGCCTGGTGCTGTCCAGGGTGCTGGACTCCCAACACCCTACCTCCTTTAGTTTAGAGCAGTGGTCGCCAACCGGTGGGCCGGGAACCACTGGTGCTCCGTGAGAAAATGATGGCGGGTCCGCAGAGAAATGTCCCCCCCAAAGCAATTAATCCAGGCTGCGCAGGAACACAAGGCTGCGCCGCCCACATGGCCCATGGGAACCCAAGGCTTTCGTCGCTTTCATTGCGATCAACACAAGGTAGTGAGGGGAGGGTGGGAAAGGGCGGAGGGGGGAACTTGCCCCACCTGGCCACCGGGCTGCTTCTTTCCGCTTCTTTCTTTTTCTACTTTTGGCTGCACGCAAGGAAAGCACCAAAAGTCTTTCTTTCTCTACCCCAAACTCCGCCAGAAATGAGTCTTTGGGACCCTGCAAGGCCTCCTGCTCCAAGTCTCACAAAGACTCATTTCTGGTGGAGTTTGGGAGAGAGAAAGAAAGACTTCTGCGGCTTCTGCTGCTTTCTTTGCATGAAGGCAAAAGTCTCTCCCTCCCTCTCTCTCTCTCTCCCCCAAGAACAGAGCTGGAGACGGTATCCTGCGATCCCAAATAACGATCAGTCGGTAGGAAAATGGGGTGGGGAATTTTCCTGCAGACTTTTTGGGGGATTTTCCCAGGGTCTCTGGTCTGCGGGATTTAAAATTATGGAGTTTGGTGGTCCCTGAGGTCCAAAAGGTTGGCGACCTCTGGTCTAGAGATAATGGGAGCTGTAGTCTGAACTTCCACCGAAATCTGCAGTCCGTTCAATACTCTGGCAGTGGAGAAAGCGGAGCTGGCATCCGCCCACAGCAAAATCGATTCAAAGCACCCTTTGTGGCTCTTCTCCAACAATCCAGCTTAAATTAAATTAAGCATTACAGCCAGTCCTCGATTTACGACCACAATTGAGCCCCAACATATATGTTGCTGAGTGAGTTTTGTCCGATTTTATCTTCCTTGCCGTCGTTAAGTGAATCATTGCAGTTAAGTTAGGAACACGGTTGTTCAAGGAATCCGGTCTCCCCATCGACTTGGCTGTCACGAGGTGCCAAAAGGGGATCACCAGACACTGCAACCATCATAAATACGAGTCAGTGGCCCCAAGCCATTTGATCTTGTGACCATGGGGATGCTGCGACAAACCTAAGTGTGAGGAAGGGTTGTAACTCATTTTTTCAGTCTTGTAAATTTGTGAATGGTCACTAAATGAATTGTAAGTCGAGGACTGCCTGTCCAAGGAAACTCCAGGAAAGAGGCCACATTTACGGTCACTAAGTGAATCATTGTAAGTCGAGGACTGCCTGTCAAGGGAAACTGCAAGAAAGAGGCCAGATTTACGGTCACTAAGTGAATCATTGTAAGTCGAGGACTGCCTGTCCAGGGAAACTGCAAGAAAGAGGCCGCATTTACGGTCACTAAGTGAACCATTAAAGTCAAGGACTGCCTGTGAAGGGAAACTGCAGGGAAGAGGCCGCATTTACGGTCACTGAATGAACCATTAAAGTCAAGGACTGCCTGTCAAGGGAAACTGCAGGAAAGAGGCCACATTTATGG